CCCCTGCAGCCTGTTCAGCCCCGCTGCCCTCTAGGCCGCTCTGCACATTCCCGACACGGCCCCTCCACGCCTGGGCACTGCTCCCTGCGCTTGCCACGCGCCGTCACCTTCCTGGGCCGTCCACCAGGTGGCAGCGAAGGCTCCCCGATGTGGAGTCCCTGCCGGCCCGCCTAGGGCCGCGGTGCAGGGCCTCTCCTCCCTCAAGACAAGGCTTATCGTGGACCCAAACGCACGTGCGTCCTCAGCCCCTGCCCACCTCTGACGGGGCTGAGCTCCAGGTTGGATGCGTGAGGGCAGATGCCTCGTCTGCTGGGTTGTCCTACAGCTGACCCTCACCATCAGACCTGCGGTGCCTCCAGACCGCTTGCAAATCACCACGTCGACTTCCCCGGAAAGCTGCACGGAGAGCCCACAGCTTTCCAACAGGGAGCCTGTTTCCTTGCTGGGAGAGTCTGCTGCTCACTTTCCTGATCAGAATCAAGGTCACTGGGGTTTTCCCAGTGGGAACTTCACAAGGTGAAGGATGGAGGAAAATTACAACCAGACCCAACACCAGCAGCCCTAGGGGCTCCGAAAACCCAGTCCTGAGGCCGCACAAAGGGCTCTGCCGGCTCCTGCATGCAGAGAAGAGCTCGAAATCAAGGTGAGAATTAGAAGCAGATTCCAGGCCAAGCTGCCAGGGCTCCGCTGGGGCCTGGGTCTCCGTCCTCACGGAGCGCCGCTCTGCAGAGGCTGCTGGCAGCCAAGGTCTGCTGGGACTGGGGGTAAGATGTCACCCAGATCTGTGTAAGTTGTTTGTGCCCATGGATGGAATATTCTTTTTATCTGAACTGCTGGAAACAGCTGAAGTTTTCCATAAACCTGAATAAATGTCCTTTCTGCCAACTTTTGAGGAAATAAGAGCCTGACGGTGCAGTGATGGTCTCAGGCCCAACACCCAGTGTCTCAGCCAGACCCCACCAGCTCCCACCCGGTCCCTGCTGGAGGGCGGCCCTGTGCCCCTGGTCTGGTCGTGGCAGCCTGGACTGGGGCCCACCAGCTCTCCACGAGACCCCCCTCCAGCTTCCCTGCTGTCTGCTCCAGGAGCTGGGAGCCAGACAAAGGTGCTCCGTCCCCATGGTGTCCTCCCCGTAGCCCAGCTGGCCTGTCTGGGTCTTGTCTCCTTCCTGTCATTTTCATCACGGTCCTTCTGGCACATTCTAGCTGCAGAAGGGGATGGAGGTAGTCATGTGCTACTTGAAGAGGACAGGACCCCACACTTCTTGAGCGCCCAGCTGGGTCACACCCTGCCTGTGGGTCCCAGAGCTGCCCGCTGGCTGACACTGTGTGAATGAACATCTGGCGTGGGATGGCATCTTCCCATCAGAGCGGTCCAGGCATCCTCAGTTCCCAAATACACAAGATGTAGGGAGACCCGAGTGTCAGGGAGATTGGAGGAGGGAGAAGCCAGTGCACAGCGGGTCTGACCTGATCCCTTCCCACCCCAGGGGGACTCTCAGGGACTGGGAGATGTGCCGCTGCATCAGGGCCCTTGACAGGAAGATGATGGGTGGGTGGCTCCAGACGCTATCTGGTATGCAGCGCCTGGCAGAGTGGGGGCCTGCTCCCCTCCCCTGCTCATGTTTGGGGACCAAGGGCCTCCAGAGGGGCTCTCTGTGCGCCGGCTGTGCTGACGCGCCAGCCGACTGACTCTAAGGGGAAAGAAACATCAGCCCAACATCCAGCTGTTCCTTTGCACAATGTTGGTAGGGGGTAGCTCTACGACCCACGGGGGGAGTGCCCCACGGCCCAGTGCCCCACAGCCCAGCCTCCGTCAGCCTCAAAGTTCTTCCTGTGGGGACGGAGGACTCCAAGAGGGGTTTTAGGGTCTGCAGCAAGAAGAGAGAGTCAGGTTTCAGGGCTGAAGACGACATTTTAAAATCTGGCTTTAAATAAACGTGGAATAAAAACAAGTGAGAGTGGAGCCTCCAGCAGCCGAAATTAGCAGCAGGCGCCCTGGGCAGGGAGCCCCTGGCTCCGCGAGGCGGCACAGCAGCGCCCGCAGTGGGCACCTCAGGAAGCTGGCCGTCCCAGGCGTGGTGTGCCTCCCGTCAGGGGGACCCGCGGGCGCAGAGAGGGCCTGTTTTCCTCTTGGCTCAGACTCCAGAGAGCAGGTTTCCTCTCCAAAAATGCCTTTCAGGTCACTTTCAAGGGAACAAAAGTCATTTAAGAGGCGGAGTGACAAGAAAACAAAGACGTTTCAGGGGTAAATGGAGAGTCATCAAACTGCCTGTGAAAGCTGGCCGGCCTTTCCCCATCCTTCCTGGGCAGACTGAGGGACCGCCCGATCCCTGGCCCCTGGGAGCAGCCAGGCCGGGGCGCCGCCCTCCACCCCGCGCGGTCCGGGGAGCCTTCGGCCCGTGCCCCTCACCTCTGTGATGCCTGCTCTGACGGAGATGGCCCGTGCAGGGCCGGCTCTAGGCTCCCTCCACACCCGGGCTCCACGCGCGGACCCGCTCGCTGGAGAATCTGCGGCAGGCGAGGTGTGCGTGTAAGGGGGAGAGAGTGCGATGCGGGGTGGGGTTCCCTGCTCTCCGCCTTCTTTGTCCCCCTCCAGAACCCCTCCCCCATCCCAAGCATGGCCTTGGCCCCTAGCTGGGCTGCCCTGCCCACTGTGCCCAGCTCAGGACACACAGGTAGTGAGCGGGCTGGAGGCCTCGGTCCTCAGACCCAGCCCTCTGTGCCCCGCCTGGGCCCACAGGAGGCCCAGGGCAGGGGGCTCTGTAGGTGCACCTGCCTGAGCTATTTAAATCTGCGTCGTCAGTTAATGCATTCTAATAAGCAAGTGGGTGCCCCAGCCAGGAGACGCAGGATGATGCTGAGGCGGGGCCTAGAGAAGCACCCAGTGCGACTGAGTTCGCTGGCGCCCTGCGCTCACCCCCGCGCCTCCCACGGGCACCTGGAGTCACGCTGGATTATGTAAGGGGGCTGGTTGCTGGGGGCCCCCTCCCAGCCTTCCACCCCTCCAGAGAAAGCCCACCGGCAGTTCAGGAGGCTCTAAGGGAGGCCCCAGCAAGTGGAACTTTCTAGGCTGCCTGGCGAGAGGGCTGAGGCAGGACCTCCTAACAATGGGCCCCCAGGAGGCCGTGCCCCCTGCTGGGCTCCTGGCTGCCCTCCAGGCCTCTCCTGGCAGTGCCCCCACCTTCTGCCAGGTAGCGCCTTTGGGCCATGTTCTTCTCAAAGGTGGGCAGGTTTTGCGGAAAGGGTGAGTGGGATTAAAGTCAAAGCCTGCAGGGCAGGCAGGGCCCAACTGCCGGGCTGGCCAGGGTGCCATGTGTGGCCAGAGCAGCGGTGGGGCCCAGGGGGCGGGTGGCGCTCCCCTTCAGACCTGTGGGCCAAGCAGGACCTTGTGCCAAGGTTGAGAATGACTTGATAAAAAGTTTAGGGCAATTGTGGATTCATGCAGTCATCACGGAGATAGACGTCCCCCACCAGCTCTGCTCCGTAACAGCTCAGTGGGCCGCAGGGTCACACTAAGGAACCAGTATGGACTCGCTGTTGCCGACCGAAGCCCCCGCTCCCCTGGTCTACATGCAACCCCCTTCCCCTGCTTCGGGGCCCACTCCCGGGGCCCACGGGGCATCTGGTCCTCGGGCTCCCAGGCTGTCCTCCTCTCGGACGACCATGGCCGACCATGGCAGCCTGAGGACGCTGCTGGGCAGCAATTCCACATCCTCTCCCTGTCGGGAGCTGCCTGCCGTGTCTCCCACGGTGGGGCCGGGCTTGTGAGCTTGGGAGGGGAAGTGCCACCCTCTCACATCTGCGTGTGGTCACGTGCCTCCCGCTGCTGACGTGGCTGCGCTCCCCTGGCTGAGGTGTGCCTGCCGTGCCTCCATTTGTCACCCTCTCCCCCACCATCCTGCGCGCTCAGGAAGTCGCTGTACACGGCCCACACCGAAGGGCTGGGAGTCTTCCTGAGGCACCCTCCTCTTTAAAAGGCAGCCTTTCAGGGTGGCATTTGGGTGCTCCCTAGAAATGTACCACCTAATCACTAACGATAATTCTAAAACAGGAAGGGCTCTGCAGGGGCCTGGTACTGCTTCCCCCTGACTCCTCCCAACCTTGGCAGCAGGGCCACTGCCCGCCTCCACGTGCAGGTGGGGCTCACAGAGGCCTCACTGGGCCGCTGGCACCCGAGTGACTGGCCCCCCTCCATTCTGTGCCTACTCCCTCAATGGCAAACCCAGCCGGTAGATGCCAGGCCTCACCCTGTGGCAGGAAGTGTAGCTCTGCCTTTTACACTGGACAAAGCCAGGGTGCTGGCGGCCACTGAGGTGACCCTCCTGCTGGCAGGAGGCAGGACTCCCTGAGCCTGTGGGCTTTGGGCGCCAGGCGCCATTTTCTTGCTCATGATGCTGACAGTTGTGAAGAAGGAGAGCCTGGATGGGAACCAGGAAAACCACTCTGGACACAAATGGGATGGTTTTGCCCTGTGACCCTGGCAGGGGGCTGGTTGCCCATAGCACCTGGCATGGAGGAAGCAGTGAAGGCCAGAGAGGATGGGGGAGATGAGGCTCTGGTCCAGAAGCCCATCTAGACAGGGCCCCATGTCTCCTGTGTCTCCTGCTCTGGAACTTTCTGGTTACCAGCCACAAGTGCGTTCATCCAGAAAGGGGAAAAGGAGCTGCGATTGGATTCTTCTTTTAGGGAGGCTTCTGCGGAGGTGGGGGGGCACGGCTCCCTGGGTAGGCACAGAATTTCCCTGTGATCTAAGACAAACCACCACCTGAGGTGAAGCTCAGCTGAAACCAGGCTAGGCTGGTCAAAAAGAGAGCTGATTTTGCTGGGTGGCCACCCCAGAAAGGGTGCCTTCTGTTTAGCAAAAATTCACAATCCCTGCGCCTGCCTTGCCAGGAGAACAGCTTGCTTGCAAAGCAAAGGCTGTCATCCTGTAATTAAATCTGAGACCCCCCTCCCTACGTGACGTTGAGATGAAGCCACTTACATAACACAACTAAAAATAAGCTGAAGAAGATGCACTTTTATTCTCCCTGCTTCCAGCCCTTCTCCCCAGGGCTGCCAGGCCAGCCAGCTGACCTGGGGTCAGTGTTGGAGGCTCTGTGTGGCCCCAGATCCTCGCCTCTGACCCCGGCTCAGCACCCTGCATGTTTGAGGGCCCATCGCCAGTGCACAGGGCAAGGGACTCTCTGCCTCAGAGCTGGGGTGCTGAAGGTCACCATGGCTACATGCCTCCCCCGTCCTGGGGACCGCAGAGGGGACGACTGGCAATCAGAAGTGACACCAAGACCAGCAGTTCTCAGAGACTCAAGCTGCTCCCTCCTCCTGCCCCAGGCGAGGAAGGACACACCGCCTGGTCCCCGCCCCGGGTCAGGCCTGGGGTGCTGCGTCCTAGCCAGACATCTTGCAGGAGGTGGGAAGAGCAAAGCTTCTCCATGAGCAGTGGTTCTCGTGCTGGTCCTGGAGGGGGTGGGCCAGACCCCAAGTCTGGGCAGGGCTTTCTCAGCTGCAGACTTCCAACCTCCGTCACTAGATCCCACGGTCCCAGCACTCTGAGTCGAGGGAAGAAGGAACCGGGTAGGTTTGTAAAGAGCTCTGAACAGCTCCAGGGTAAAAAAGGTGCCAGACAAGCATGCCTCCCTGGTTCCCAGGAGCCTGTGCTGGGGCTGACCTCTCAACACCCAGCCCACTGACTGGCCCTGAGTCCTTACCCTTGGTCCTCAGCCCCCACCCCAGACACCGCCGCCATTCGAAGGGGCTTCCACATAGGAAAAGCCTCAGAGTACACTAGTGGCCTTGTGGCCTGGGGCTCAGACCTCCTCCTTTCTGCTGAAGGGGCTGCTGGTGGGTCAGGGAAGCTGCTGGGCAGGACCCTGACCTTCCTGCCTCTGTTCTCCACACCTGTGTGCACTGTTCCCACGCTCTGCTCCATGCCTGCCATCGCCGGTGTGTGTTCCTGGGTGGCTCTCGTGCCCACTGGTAGAAGGTGCTCTGTGAATGCTCTTCTGACTGACGGCTTCCCCCCAGCTGCTCACCTCCTGCCCAGCTGCAGGCAGAGGGGGCAGGCCCGGGGTAAGACTGCAGAGCCGTTCGTGCACTTGGAAGACGGGGTGGGCTCTGAATGGATCCCTTACATCAGCCAACACTGAATGTGAGCGATCTTTAGGCAGGAGGAGGGCGCTCACCAAAAGGACCTTCTAGAGTGTGGAGCCAGGCTCAGGATCACGGACGCTTTCCTGGCCGGGCCTCTCCCCTTCCTCTACTGTCGCGTGTCTGTGGGAGCGGAGAGCCAGAGGCGCTCTCTGCAGGCTGGTTCCCGTCCTGGAGCCATGAGAGCCCCGTTCTTCCTGCTGGCCTCCCCGTCGCGCTTCTGGGTCCAGACACTCGCTCCCCTTTGGACAAGCACACTCTCCCTAGCCCCCACCCAGATCCACCTTGGCCTGTGACCCCGTTCAGGTCAGCCCAGATTTGGCAGGATGGAAGTGTGTACCACAGCAAGCCAGCCTGAAGGACAGGGACGTGGGGAGGTAGATGGTGCGGACCTCCTGCTTGTGGGCCAGTAGATGCCCTCATTATTAGTGCCCATTCTTTCTGTCACTTGCAACCAAACGAATCTCAGGAACTGCATACACAGGGATCCACCTTAAAACACTGCCAGCAGTGAAGAGAAAGGAGGAAGCCAGGGCCAGTCTAGGGAAGGAAATAAACTAACAAGGATCTGTCTGTACAGGAAGGCTCGCGGTGGGGAGGGGAGGCCATGCCCCCCGAACAGCACTGTTCCAGTCTTTGCGACCCCATGAAGCTGAGCACGACGCATCCGGGCCACAGACGCTGCCTCTTCCGGGCCTGTCTCGGCTCCTTGCGGACTGTCGGGGGTCCGCCCGGTGTCTGGTGGGTCTGTGATTCCCCGGGCGCGCGCACCTGAAGGTCACCTGACAGGCTGTTGGGACGGGAAGGGATCGGGGTGCTGGGGGGTGGGTGCCGGTCCTAGTGGAAGGGAGACACTCAGGTCTGGCGTCCTCCACGTAAAGCAAACAGTTCCCCGAGTGAGTCTAATTTATGTGAGGTTCCCCAGGTGGATCGGACGGGAGGCCGCGGTGCAGGTCGGCCCCTAGGCGGGACCTTCTCCGCCGCGAGCTCCTCTCCCCACCCGCGGGCGGCCCCTCAGTCCCCCCGGGCCCTCCCCTCCCAGGGTCCTGCCTCCCAGGCCCTCCCAGCTCATCCCAGGGCCCACCCCGCGCCTCCCGGGAAGGCCGGCCCGGCATCGCCGCCGCCTCGCATACTCACCGGGCCGCGCGCCGGCCTCTCCTCCTCCCTGGCCAAACCCGCGCGGCCGGCGGCCCAGCGCCCAGGGCTCCTCCCGCCTGGCGCCAGCCCGCGACACCGCCGCCCACGCCGTAGCAGCGCTCGGGCCCGGCCGCCCCGCCTCGCCACTGTGCGCAGAGCCGCCCCCACGCGCGCGCCTGCCGCCGAAGCCCCCACTCCCCACCTACATGCCTTCTTCCTGCGCCGCCCGCCCCCGCCACGCCGCCCCCGGCCCGGCTGTCGCCGGCCCCTCAGCCTGTTCTCAGGGTCCCATCCCGCGCCGCACCTCCACCTCCTCGCCCGCGACCGACAGCGCCGCCAGCCAATCGCTGCCCTGTGTTGGCCCACGGGCCCCGCCCCCGGCCCCCGACTCCCGAACCCACCAATGGGAAGGGCGGTGCGGGGGCGGTGCCTGCCGGTTGCCTGGCAGCGGCGGTGCTGGTTGGGGGCGGGCGGCCGGGGGCGCGAACCGGGCGCGGCGGGGGCGGGGCACTCGGGGGCGGGGCCTCCGGGGCGGGGCATGCGCGGCTATAAAGGCGGCCGCCGGCGGGGCGCCGCGATCCTGGTCCGTTCCGCGTGCCCGCCGTCTCCGCAGTTCCCGCCACCTCCGCGCCCCCGCTCCGGTCCGTGGTGCCGCCGGACCAGCACCATGTCGCTGTCGCGCTCGGAGGAGATGCACCGGCTCACGGAAAATGTCTACAAGGTGAGCCCCGCAACGCCCGCGCCCTCGGGCCCGACTCAGGCGGCCGCAGGCCCTCGGGGTCCTCCCGCGCGCCAGCGGGACCCCGGCGCCTGCAGGTCACAGGTGGGCGCGGGCGCCCCGCCCCCGGCTGGCCGCTCGCGCGGACTGGAGCCCTCGGGGATGGGGGCGCGGGGGCGAGGCGGGCGGCGCGGGGGCGGAGGCGGCCTCGGAGGCCCCTCCGGCGGCGGTCGGCTCCCCGGCGCTTCCCGGGCTTCCCGGTCCGCGGCGCCGCGGGGCCGGGGGCGGGCGACCGAGCCGAGCTCTTATGTAACGGCGGGCCCGCCGGCGCCGTTCGTCCGAAGTCGCGGGCCGGAGCCCGGCTGCCGGGGCCCAGGCAGCGCGGGGTCTCGGCGGCGCAACAGGCCTTGGTGCTCGGCCCGGGCGCGGCGGGTCGGCGAGGTCTCCCACTCGCGGAGGCGCTAGCACTGTGGCCCCGAAGCCCGGGAGCCGCCGGCGGGCCGGAGCAGACCGGCGGGGGCGGAGCGCAAAAGGAGCAGCCTTCGTACACGCTTGGCACCGCGTAGAGTCGGTGGCATACGTTTCTGGTCGCGTTGCTCTGCAAATGCTGCCAGGGGACGGAGGTTTATTAAATCATTACTCATTAGTTCCGCGATGATTTGCTCATTATTGCAGCGGGTGGGAGAGGAGTGCTGGTCAGAGTATTTTTTTCCTATTTTCCCTGTTTCTGCCCCGAAACCATTAAACGGGAAGTTTCACAGCAAGAATTACGAGGGGAGCGTGGTATGGCTCTGCTCCGGGCAATCCCACAATCACGCTTAATACAACTCTTGTAAGCCCGGCAGTGAGGGTGCAGCCAGAGCCAAGCAGTTTCCACACAGCTGTGATTTGTCTGGATGTCTGAAGTGGGATCTGTCCGCGGAGTGGTGGCAGGAAACTGTTAGAATCCCTGCGCTTGGGGGCTCGTAGCCCCTTTGGAAGCAGACTGGAGGGTTTGGGGCACATATTCAACAGGCAGGTCTGGGTTGCGTTGGGCAGGTCAGGTGACGAATGAGTTCCCGTGGGAAGGTGTGGCATTGAGCCCCAGGCTTTGCGGCCGGTCGCCGAGCTTTGTGTGTGCAGGCCGTGCCCCCTGCTAACGCTGGAGCCTGGGAGCAGGCCCGCACTGCACCGGCAGGTTGGGTTTGTGGGCGGTGCTCGGCCTGACGCTCTGCAGCCACTCAGTGCCGCCTCTGTTACTTCGTGTTTTGACCCTGGGGAGCCTGAGGTTTGGAGGCAGGGCCGGTGCTGGTCGGCGGCCTGGGCGCGCTGGCCAGGCGGAAACCAGCCCCACCGAAGGCTCAGTCGGGATGCAGCTGGAGTCAACCGTGCGTCAACACCAGCTGGCCTGCCGTCCCGTGGTCTCTGCTGCCTGTGTGCCCGGGTTGGTGGCCGGGGAAGAGTGGCTGGGATGTGGCCCCGCGCCGTGTCACCCTGCGCCGAGGCTCAGCTGTCTGCTTTGGCCCCTGCATCTCCTCAGCTGCGGCTGAGTGGTGTTTGCCACGGCAGAGAAGGAAGGAGCAGGGACTCCTGTCTTTGGCTTTGCCGATTAAAAGTACGAGAATCAGTGTACGGTCTTGGTTCTCCTCCCTGGAAGAATCCGTAAGGGAGACTTTGACCTCTTCCCCTGCGGCTGGGTTCCCGCGGGAGCTGCGTCCTCAGGGAATTTAATGGAAGATGAAGGGGGCAGGAGCAGGATGGCTTCCTGGTGCCTGCTGAGCACTCACCCTCTGACCCTGGGCAGGGGGACGTGGACTGAAGCCCTCTTGGGCAGGCACTGGGCTGGGCCCTCCAGGGGTGGGCGCAGGTAACAGCCTGCAGCCCAGGACCTGGGGCGAGGGGCAGAGGGTGAGGGGTGGGCATCTCCTGCTCAGAGTCAAGCCCAGCCACAGCCCCTTGGGAGAGCGCCCCGAGCACCCCTGTGTGCTGCAGAGGGCTTCTTCAGCCGCCGGCCTCAGCTCCTGGTGGTTCCACAGTGCGGCGGATGTTTTTCTCCTGGTCTTGTATCCTGCTCCTGTGTGATTTGATGGCCCTTGAGGGTGGTGGCGCCAGCAGCTTCTCTAGGTGGTGCCGTGGCTGGTCCTGAGGATGCCAGAAGGCGAGAGACAGCCAGAGGGGGGACGGAATCCCCAGGAAAGCCTCAGGCCATCTGTGGTGCCTTGGCAATCAAGCCTTGGTCAACATGCTGGTGGTCACTAGAGGCTGTCTGGTCATCCTTACCCTGCAGCTGCCATGGGGAAGCTGGCCTGGCCATGTGAAGTTGCCCTGTGAAGGTGGCCGGTGCCAGTAGGGGCCTGGAGCCAGGAGTTGGTCAGGCTTGCCAACTGGTGAGGGCTGGTGAAAGGTGGTAGGCATCAGGCGCTGGTAGGAAGGAATCCACCTGGGCAGGGCAGAGCCCACTGCTGGCTTTTCTGATTGAGTCGTGGCTGCTCAAGCCCTGCCTGCTACCCTCTGTCACATCCGACTCACTCTCCCAGGTGTGTGTTTTGGGGAGTGCTGGGAAGCATGGGGCCCCTCAGTCCTATGCCACTAGGCTCAGAGCCTCTCCACCTTCACCCATGGTTGGCCAGTCATGCCAAACTCCTGGCCATTGTCAGAAGCTGGCATCTGGAGCAGACAGAGCCAGCAGGCCCCCAGTTGGAGGGTGAAGTGGACTCAGGCACTTCCTTGGCAGTGGAGATGCCTCTGGGAGGAGCAGACCCAGGGCCTGCTTTGCTAAGGAGGTGAAGGGTCCCAGCACCAGGCCCAGCTATGTGTGCATGTACGTGTGTGCACATGTATACTGAACATGTGTGAGCATGCGTGCACGCATGTGGTGCTTTGCTCCCTTTGCTTCAGAGGCACTTTCAGGGGCTCCCACTTGGGGTGGTGCCTTCTGATAAGACTGCCTGCTGTCCTCAGCAGCTGTCTGCTTTGCTTCTCTCAGGCCTGCTACATGGCGCCTGCCTTCCTCCCACCGGCATTGAAGCAGGGTCCTTGAATCCTCAGAGTAGCCAGGGCAGGCTCATTGCACTGCCCTCTGAGTTGACCAGCTTCAGCAGCTCTTTGTGCCCAGGCACATCCCAGGAGTGGACAGCTCTGTGGCACAGGACTCTTGCTGTTGGCTTGTGGGGTGCCTGGTGCCTGGCTACTGAATGTAACGGGCGGCTCGGGGACACCCAGGCCCAGGGCGAGGCGGCTCTGCAGAGTTTCCAGTTGGGCTGGGAGCATCTTGCCTGGGAGATGGGTCTTGCCTCAAGCATGTGTCCTTTGCTGGGGAAGTTGGCTTGTCACGTGGAACGAACCCAGGTCCCAGGTCAGAATGGTGGGCATTGCTGGCCCAGGTTTGATGAGTGTTGTCAGCAGGGAGCCGTGTGTGTGTGGGGGTGTTCCCATTGCCACCTAATTTGGGACAAGGTTTCCTTAGGGCTCTCCTCCCAAGCATGGGTGGCAGGCCAGCAGGGAGCCCAGGGCCCTGCTGGCCTTTCCCATCAGATTACGGGTCTGGTTCCTGTTCATGAGGTTCTGAGATGTCACCAAGAGACCGCGTGGGCCGTGGGTAGGGCTGGCCTTGCCACTCATACGTGCCCGCTCAGCCTGCAGTGGGGCCCTGGGCAGGTGTTGCCTGTGCTCTCACCCCCTGGGGAGGGCACATGAGCAGCTGATCTGGCCTGGGGGCACCCTGGGCCACCAGCGAGGCTGGCTCCCGTCCTCCTTCCTCGCCCCCAGATGCACTGACCAGGACCCACCCTCCACTGCCTTCCTGGCTGCCCTACTGGGGCCTCAGGATGGTACAGACGTGTCCCGGATGCTGCACGGGCTGCCCTCAGAGCAGTGCCTCCATCAGCTGCCTGCACGCATGGGCTGAGATGGCACCTCCCCTAGCACTGCCCCCGCCCCCACCAGCTCCCATTCACTCCTGGCTCTGACTGTGCTGCGCAGCTGCAAGGTGGCTCGAAGGGCCCCAACCCAGAGAGGGCAGGGTGGGTTGGGGGTGCACCCATGGGCCCCTCTGGGTGCCTGGGAGGTTGGTGCCCAGGACCTCTTAAAATGAAAGACATTCTGTCCCCAGCCTTCGCCTGAGACCCAGGTGTGGTGACTCAGGCCCCACATGGCTCCCCCACTGGCTGGCACATGAGCATCCATGCTTGGCCACAGTGAGCCCCATGTCTGGGCTGTAGGGTGCCTACATCTGCACTGCTGGGCCACCCCTTCTGGGGTCTGCGTGTCAGCTGTGGGCTCTGAGAGCAGCGGCTCAGGGCCTGTGTGTACCCTGGATGTTAGCTGGGCAGTTGGGGTCCTTGATGTTGGTCCCCATGCTGAGGGGGGGGGAGCTGAGAGGCCCAAGGGCACAGTCAGGCCTTTGAGGAGTGGGGCAGGGGTGGGAGGGCAGGTCTGATGCAGGTGAGACCCAGGCCCGTCTCTGTGCTGCCTGGAACCTCAGGGGGGCAGACAGGGGCTGTGCCTGGATTGCTGGCAGGACCCCCTTCCTCCTGCCAGGGGGCAGGCAGGGCCTTGAGTGAACCCCTCCACCCGCCTTGGGCTCCTCTTCCAGACTGCCTCAGAGACCACGATGAGTCGGCCGGCTGCAGGGCAGGCTGGCAGGAAGCTCACCAGGCCTTTTCCTGCCCTGCTCGGAGGCTGAGCGGGTCCCCTCCTGCAGTGTGCACGGTGGCCAGCACGTGCCTGTGTCCCTGCAGCTCCACTTCTGGCCCCAGTGCCTGTCCAGGGTCTGTGAAGCTGGTCTTGGTGTCCATGGCTGTGAGGCGAGCACTCCGAGGGCCCATCCGCTTGCCCGAAGCAGGTGGAATGGGGGTGGTGTCCTCACACATGCCCCTGGGTCCCCACACCCCCACCGTGGCAACGCTGGGAAGCCTTTGGGCCACCAGGAAACAGGGCTGCCGGCCAGAGCACAGCACCGTCTTCTTGCATGGGATTTTTATTTTCGACTTGTGGGAATAGTTTTAGAATTATTTTGGCAGATT